ATGGATAAGATAGGAAATAGATAATCATAAAGAAGAATTAGCTGGACTGGGACACATGATGGACAATTTTTTCTGAGGCTGGAAAAAGTGAAAAACAAATCAAACGTACAATCAAACGTATAATTCTAATTTTTACTGCCTTGATCTATTTCTTTTACAGATGGTTACTTATTTATCCAAGAGCAACTATATAAGAAGTAGTTTTAGGCATGTATACAGGTGCAACATAATGCTCAAATATATGACATGGGACAACAAAGGCAAACTATGAATTCATATAACCACTGAACTATACCCTACATTATACCAACACAAAATGTCAAAAGAAGGAAAATTTCTTCCCTTTTTGTAGTGCAGGGGCAAATTTTCTGTCAAATTATAGTGCCACAAAAACTTGCAGTTGATATGATTTCTTCACTTTGTGTGTTCCTAGCATGGTACCTTGCTGACTGCAAATGTATCCTAGAAAATTATGCAAGCGTGTAAAGTTCATCGTACAGGGTAAAGACATCACAATTACTGATGTCAATATTAATTTATAATCAGCTAATAGGAAGTAATCTTCTGAAGGACAGAAAGAGTGCTCCTCGGCTTTCACCATCAGGAGATGGTGCAAATCATGCTCATACAGGTGTCAATAATGTAGTCCTATAGTCATTGCCTTCTAAATCGTGCTTGAATGTCTTGATAAAAGATAGTATTCCTTTAAAATTGCTTAATTGGCTCATAATATTCTGAAGGGCAAGTAATTCCCTCCATCAATCCCCTAACTTAACATCTGTTTCAATGCTGACCTTCTTTGGATTGCCTGTGACAATTGGAGTGTTGCTTAGGTGCTCTAGGCATATTTTGGAGCTTTGTATGAATATCGTGGCTTTAATGAGCTATGTGCATGATGTGAATTAAGGATTAAGTATGATAATACCTCATGTTGAAATTGTTGCATTGTAACCAGATATTAGGCCTCAGTTCTAAAAGGTAATTTAAACACTGGATGCTCTGTACAGCTACAGACACTGAATGCTAATATCATTTTTTCCATTCTTATATGCCATACGGGCATCATTGGCCGGCATTAATTGCCCAGCCCTATGTGTCATTGAATTGAATAGCTTATTCGGCTACGTCATAGAACAGTTAAAACCAATCGCGTTGCTGTGGGTCGGGAATTGCACGTCATCAGAACAACAGACTTCCTTCTCTAAAGGACATTAATGAACCAGATATAGCAAGAACTGCAGATGCTGGAGTCAGAGTCAAGCTGGAGGAACACAGCAGGTCAGGCAGCATCAGAGGAGCAGCAGAGTTGACTTTTCCGGTTTACACCCTTCATCAGGACTGGGAAAGGGGAAGGGAGCTGGGAAATAGATAGAGGGAGCGGGGTGGGGCTGGGAGAAGGTAGGTGGGATGGTGATAGGTGGATGCAGGTAGGGGGTTGTGGAGATCCTTTAGGGAAGGAAACTGCCATCCTTACCTGGTCTGGCCTACATGTGACTCCAGACCCACAGCAATGTGGTTGACTCTTAAAGGCCCTCTGGGATTAGGGATAGGCTTTAAATGCTGCCCAGCCAGTGATGCCCTCATCTGTGAAAGAATAAAGATGGGTCATGGGAAGGGTGGGGCAGATACCTGCTCCTCTGATGCTGCCTGACCTGGTGTGTTTCTCTCGCTCTGCACTGTATTAATTAGTGAACTAGAGTTAAGGGGATCAAGGGTTACAGGATAAAGGCAAGAAAATGGGTGGAGAAATATATCAATCATGATCTAATGGTGGAGTGATTCGATGGGTCAAATGGCCTAATTCTGTTTGTATATCTTATGGTCAGATACTATTTTTATGTTTATTAATTATGGTTACTGTTACTGTTAGGCTAACTTTTAAGTTCAGACTTTATTGAATTCAATAAAGTCCTATGGGGCTTCACAAGGTAGATACTGAGAAAGTATTTTCCTTATTGCAGGGAATGCAGAATACAGAATCACAGTCTCAAAATAAGGGATTGACCATTTGGAAATGAGATATGGAGAAATTTCTTTATTCAAAGGGTTGAATCTTTGGAATACTTTACCCAAGAGAATCGTTATTGAGAGCATTTAAAGATGAGATTGACAGATTTTGAAGCCTTAAGGGAATTTAGGAACATGTGATAGGGTAGAACGGTGGAAGTGATGTTGAAGGTCAACCAAGATCTTGTTAAATAGTGCAAAGGATCAGATGGTCTACTACAATTTCATTTTCCTTTTTCATTTTGTTACCCAGACAGCCCTGAAATCTTCAATCTAGTTTTCTCTTATTCTTTCATGGGATGTGTGTATTGTGACTAGGGCAGCATTTATTACCCAGGTGGAAGTTAGAAATCAACCACTTTTCTGTGGGTCTGGAGTCACATGTAAGCCAGACAAGGTAAGGATAGCAGATTTCCTTCACTAAAGGGCATTAGTGAACAAAACAAATGTGTTTTTTTAATGAGGTCACCATTAGTCTATGTTTATATTCTGTCTTTTTATTGGGTTCAAATTTCACCATCAAATGTGGTGGGATTTGAACCCATGACCCCCTGAATGTTAGCCTGGCTTCCTGGATTACTAATCCACTGTCATTACTGCTTTGCCACCCCTTCTCCTAGACCAGAACAGGTAAATTAGTTCCATTGAAAATAGTCGTGGTAAAAATTGTTACTTCAACTTGTGTCTCAGATGGAAAAACCTGTTTCGACTCATATGAAGCCAGACCAATGGCCAGACCCGTATAATGGTTTTGGTTGGGTTAGATATGGATTTGCTCTGGAGACAATCACAAGACTGGTCATTCGTTGCTCTGAAATCTGGCACCAGTAGTTTTCATGAATTTTCAGCATAGACTCAGATTACAGCACGCCAACAGCACTGCTTCTCTGCATCATTCATTTGAGTATTATGTTTATCATCTTATTTATCCTTTTTTGTATTTTTTGATTGCTCCTCCTGCACACCAACCTCTGTTCTTTCCTCCTTTATGACTGTAGTGTTAAACTTTAAATGAAACACAAAATTTTCATTGTTGTTTATCATGTTATTACCGAATGAAGAGTTGTGAAATTTTCTTGCTGAAAATTTATTATACACTTTGAAAGTGACCAGCTCACTGACTTTAATGTTTCAAGTGGTCTAAACTTTTTCTGCTGCTGTTACAATGAAAGCCAATAATTAACATAACAAACAAAAAAATGTGAGCGTAATCCCACATAATACTACTGTTTGATTACAATGTCCTGTCATTTTAAAAAATCTCATTTATCTCTAATCTATATCAAAGTCAAAAAACTGCCAGAACACATAAGAAAGAACATCAAACACAGTTTCAGTGCAATAATGAGACATTTTCACTGAAAACAATGAACTGATGAAAGGGTTTGCATCAGTTCACTTCCAATCTGACGGTACTTCAATGCAAGGCACATATTGCTTCAAAATGGAAGAAGAAAGGTGGAAATTATAAGTTTTTTTAACGCTAGATTAGACAATAAAGCAAACATTTACAATTGCATGCAAAACCTAATGCATGGGCAGATTTAGTCTGTTGGAGAATGGATAATACTCACAACAACATTCCAGTTAAAACTATTTCCATATGATAATAAGTCACAAGCAACAGAATAGAAATTTTATGGCTTGAATATTCCATTTAATCCCAGAAAAATATATCTGTAGCATTTTATTGCTACCAAATTGCTGCTGTGTTATGTAAAAGAACAGCCACTATAATTTGACAATTTGGGAGATATGATGAAATAAATGCTATTTGTTTCTAAAATGTTACAATGCAACTGAACTTCCGCTGAGACTGTTGGGATTGAAATTTGTGTGCCCTAATTTCTACATTCTGTGTGGCTAAATACTGAAGCCTGAGGTAGCTCCCACATTGGATACGTGGAAGCCAAGATCAAGCCACTGTTAGCATCACAGCCACCCTCAAGCAAGTCAAGCCTGTAGTTGGAGGATAGGAGACCAGGAGCACTTCAGATGGCTACCTCATTATGTTCAATTAAGCCACTGACATTGCAATTTAGCTATTTGAGGGGACTCAATGACAAAAAAAGCACTTTCATTTCATTATCTAATTTGTGGAAGTAATAAACTTTTATCCAGGGGAGCAACTTGATATTCTTTGAATTTTATTTTACAATTTATTGCATATAATAAAATTCAGTGAAGTATTTATTAGAACAACTTAGGAACACCGAAACCATGGGGCTGGAAAAGTAGATGAAGCTGAGTGGAATTGGAAGATTGAATTGGAAAGTAGAGTTGAAAGAATAGGAACCCAGCAGGGGATGGGGCAGGGGGAGCATATGCTCTTTAAAAGCATGGTCGAAAGGAGCACTCCTTCTCCTGGCTCAGATTCAGATAAATACATTTCAAAAAGCTACCAAAACGGCTATATGTGCTTTACTTTCATTTGCGGTTTCAGGCATGGGTCCTGGATACCTGATGTATATCCATCATTAGAAATGTACATACATTTCCCTACCACAATTCTGGACCTTCACAGGAAGTCAAATTTAAAAAAAAACTCAAATGGTTTAATAAGTCTGCCTGCACTTAAAAGCAAACCATTTCAAGTGCAGCCAGAATTTTACTTCTTTTCTCACTTCAGGTGGTTACCTCACTATGTTCAATTGAGCCACTGACTTTGCAATTTAGCTATTGTTGGATTATTTCTCAAGGAGACTGAATGACAAAAAATAAAGCACATTCATTTCATTATCTAAATTGTGGAAGTAATAAACTGTTATCCTAAGGGAGCAGCATGACATTCTTTGAATTTTATTTTGCAATTTATTGCTTATAATAAAATTCAGTGAAGTATTTATTAGTACAACTTAGGAACCTCGAAACTATGTGATAATGCATGGCATCAATCAGCAAGTCTTGACTATTATCCCAAATCAATTTATGAAGCTTTAATTTAGCTAAGACAAACTGATAAGTGTAAAATGAATTTAGAAGTCATGTCATACCCTTCCCACTTCCACCAGATTAGTTACCATGACGATACTGGATGAATTCTCCTGCCAAATCATTCTCCAAAAATCTTTAACTGTCTCCTGCATAGGACCTTGAATGCAAGAAAAAAATTTTATTTAATCTTGTATTAATATATGCATATTGATACAAACAGCTTTTATTGATTATAGAGTAATAAAGCACACTGCAAATTAAACTGTTCGCAAAAAATAAACATAAGAATAAATGTTAATAATTAATCATTTACAAATGAATGCTTATTTGATTGCAATTACTTTGAAATTACACTGACATCAACAATCTGTAATAATAACCTGAAATGTTTCAATTAAAATTATACAATTTACGTAGGTGGGTGATATTCACCTGCTTTCATATCTCACTGTCACCATCAATGAAACTTACTTTCACTCACTGGACTGTAATACACATCCTTTGCTTTTTTCCGCATTACACACAGCGCTCAATGACTTGTTTTGTTTGCACCCATCTCCTCTTCCAATGAAAAGACTCTGAAAATCTTCTTAAATTGAAAATCAGTTACCTCTTCTAATTCTGTTACTAATTTATGTTTGGTGTGCAAGTTCTGGACCATGGAATGCTGGTCTCCATTACTGTCTCCTTGCATTCCCTATGCAAATAATTTTTCTATTTTGATGAACTAAGGTGCTTGATTAACACAGTGTCTGCTATCATCTATTTTGACATGGAGTAAAATGTCTCCTGCCTTCCATCCTTACAGAGGCCTATCCTTTTGCACTTGTTTGAAACCTGTTCCATCTCTAACTTATTCCAGTTCTGAGAAAATGTCATTGAGCAGAATCATTGGTTTAACATTAGTATTTTGCCATATCAAGCACCTATATTTCTTGCTGTGAAAGAAATGGACTCCTTTAGCAATATGTGGTGTCAGAAAATTCTTAAACTTTAATCCTATTATGTGAACTATACTGCTTTAAGCTTCCTCTTTAATTGTTTTCATGTTTGCCTTAAGTCAACTGTCTCTTGTCGCAATAGTGGAAATAAACTTATCTTTTTTTCCTTCGACATAACATTTTAAATATCTTGAAACATTTATCAAATAGCCTCTTAATCTTCAGTAGCAATGCGCCATGAAAATATGGTGGGATGCGCAAGGTCAGGAGAGAGTTAACAAACCTGACCGGATGAAACATCATCACTGTTCCCTGCTGCAGTGAGATGATAGAAATTACTAATAACACAATCAAACTGATGCTTCATAGAAGTGTGATGGAGAGATAACTTTAAAGTTGCATCCATTTTTACTGTAATTTATACTTTCGAATATTGGTTTGAGGTGGTCATGGAGACAGAATTGCACACAGACACCATTTCCTATCTCGCTGTGAATTGGAACAAAAAAGATTGGCTCTTCATAATTCATATTGCTGGGGCAGTAATGAAACAGAAATTCTATCCAAACTGCCTTTTTCTTGATTCCCTCTGTTCCAAAGCTTTTATAAAGACATACTCATTTGCTTAGGGTTATTGGTGTTAGTTTAAAAATTGTAACCAGAGTTTCATTGGACAGGAGTGCGGGCAGGTAGGTAGGAAAGCAGGTTGTGAGGAGGACTTCAAGGATTGAAACTAACTCACCACCTGAAGGCTGACATGGCTAGAAACTTGTCTGGGATTGGGAAAGTGTGATCCATCTTCCTCCTTGTCTTCCCCCACACTTCCCAGCTCCCTCACAAGTCCTGGTTAGGAAACCAGGGGCCACTTAAAGCCCTCATCGTGCCACTGCTGGTGTTCAGGCTGAGCCACACCATGACTGCAATTGACGCCTATATCCACGGCCTTGTGGGAGTGTCCCTCTTACTTTAGAAAACCATACCCAATAGAGAGACTTGATAGTAGCAAGGGCTACCCATAGGTGAAGAGCCATGTCTGTTCTTTGAATCCCTCTCTAACCACACCATGAGACTTCATGATTGGCTCCAGTGAACCCATTTTACCCACCCTTATGCCACAGTGCTGTGATGATCCTCCAGCTTTGGTCTCCTGCGGTACCAGTAGTGGGCATCACTCCTAGTGGTACTGCTGGTACTGGAGAGCTGCTGGCCTCTGACTGGCCAATTGCTTTTAGCTCTTAGTGGGATATTGACCCTGACCACAGCACAGTCATTGATGGCAAACAGCTGAGTGCCTGAATGGCAGTAAATTGGATCAAAGAGGGCCTGGAATGGCTAGGGCAGGATTCACACTATAAATACCAAATTCCACCCAAAGATTCTGCAAGCTGGGTGAAGTTAATAAATTGGCAGCTGGAGGATAATTCAGAAAAATTGCAAACTTTTTCAACTTTAGTGAGATGAACATAAACCAGAAAATGTTAGTAAATGGAGAGAGTCTAAAAATGCTGTGATTTTGAAGGTTCTGAATATTGTCAAATATGAATCACAAAAAAATCAGCATGTAAGGGCAGCAGGCAATTAGCAATGCAGATGGAATGTTGGCCTTTCTTGCAAGGGGAATGGGATATAAAAGTAGTGAAGTCATGCTAAAAATATAAAGTGCATTGATGAGACCACATCCAGCACAGTGTGTACAACTTTGGTCTCTTTGTTTTATTTATTAACGGGAGGTGGGCATCGCTAGCTAGGCAGCATTTATTGCCCATCTCTAGCCCAGAGGGCCATTCAGAGTCAACCTCAATGCTGTGGGTCTGGAGTCACATGTAGGCCAGACCAGGTAAGGATGACAGTTTCCTTCCCTAAAAGACATTAGTGAACCAGATGGGTTTTTCCAACAATTGGCAATAGATTCATGGTCATCATTAGATTTGTAATTCCAGATATTGTATTTAATTTAAATTCCACCATCTGCTGTGACAGGAATTGAACCTGGGTTCCCAGACTAATAGTCCAGTGATAATACCACTAGGCCTCACTTCCCCTAAGAGTGATATTCTTCCATTGGAGCAGTTCAGAGATGGTTAACTATGATGATTCTGTAAATGAAGAGGTTGCCTTATGAGAAAAGACTGAGCAGGTTGGGCCTACCCTCATTGCAGTTAAGATGAGACGTGATTTTATCAAAACACATAAGGTACCGTATTGGCTTGACAGGGTAGATGCCGTTGCTATGGGGAAATCTAGAGTGAAGTGGCAAAGTTTCAGATGGAGGTTAGGAGAAATTTCTTCTCTCAGAGATTCATTAACCTTTGAGAGTAGTCAATGACTATATGCAAAGCTGAATTAGATATATTTTTGACTTACTGTAGAATTGGGTGTTACACAGGGTATGGAGGCAGGGTAAATGTGATCAGCCAGAAAAGTGGAGTTAAGGATAAAATCAGTTTAGCACAAGTATTTTTTCTTTAAAGCTGGGCATTATTGAAAGCCAGCATTTTTTTGCCTGTCCTAATTACTCTTCGACTAAATGGCTTGCTAGGCTATTTCAAAGTCAATCATATTGCTGTGGGTCTGGAGTCACATGTAGGTGAGACCAGGTAAGGACTAGATCAGATGGTTAGTTTCTTTTTAGAGAATATTCGATGAACTTCATCATTTAAAAATTTGAACACATGTACCCAAAACATCAACCTGAGCCTCTGGCCCAGTGACATTACCATGACAGTACCATCTCCTGCCCCTATTTCTTATGTTATAAATTGTGGACGCTGGAATTATCACTGTGGAATGTTTAACAAGCAAGGAATTTTTAAAGGTCTGTGAAGTCAGAAATTTTGTTATTGATATCTATTCAACTAGTTGAGTTTTGTGTTCAGGTCCGAAAGTGGAATAAATTATTCTATCTTAGTGAAAATAATTCTCAAATGACCACTGGCCTAACAGTACAGCTAAGTCAAGCTGACGTGATTTTGCTTATTGAAGTATCATTATAAAGCTTATGAGGCACCATACTAAATAATCATGAAGTTATAAATGCTGGATTAAGAAACATTACCGAATTGCATGTGAAACATGATAATAATACTTTTTTTGTTTTGATTGAAATATTTTGCATTGTTAGGTAATTTTTTCTTTTGAGTGCAATAAAAGGCAAACAATGTCAGGACAGTACTGTGACAGGTGTACATTCACACTCTGCCATTTGATACTAGACTGAGTAAAGATATTGGTGCATACTTTATTGACAATGTTATCACACATACACACATATATATGATAATCAAAACACCATTGCATTAAGTGACTAGATGATGAAAAGTGCTTGGATTGAAATGATTCGTGAAAAAGTGACATTGACTAATTAATCAAAATTGCCATAGCAGCTCCACATTACCTTTTGCAGAAATGTTATTAATCCTATCAACTGTGCAGTTGTAACAAATTCATTAAGACTGATTATTGTTAATTCTATTAACCATGTTCTGTTCAGCATAATGCTTCAGAATACTGATTACAATGCAGAATTAGAATGATGGGATTAGGCTAAGAGTATATAATGTTTGCTCAGTGCTTATGCACCTCAAGAATGCAACATTGCAGACAATGGCACTGGATGTTAAAAATTTTCCATGAACTTTAAAAATATGTTGCTACATATGAAGCTATCTTGCAGCATCAAAGCAATACTGCAGTCATGTTTCATTTCACAGTAAACTCCACTAAATTCCAGGCGTACTTCATGAAATATGTGATTTAATGATTTTTCTTTTGAGCACAATGTAAGTGTTTTGAAAAATAATGGCGCAGCTGAATGTTCTATCATTATCATAGTCATTTTATCTCTTTCTTACCCGATTCATTACTGTCGTTATAGAAACCTATTGCCCTACTTTTGTTGGAGGATACAGAGAAACTCCTGATCAATACTGTTCTCTCAAGCAGACTGTGCTCTGAGAGTCTGCGAGACACAGGGGAAAAGAAAAATGCATTACATTGGGAACTCGGTGATGCACTAAATTAGCATATTTTAAAAAAATCTTTGATCTAGCCTTGACCGATGTTTCTACAATCCAATTCGATGTGGTTGTGGCAACAGCCAAGTGCATAACATTGTCCTGAATTTGGCACTTACGCTGTAATCTCAGAATGGCCTCTGGATAATGCTATAATTTTTTTGAGGTAGTGGCCAAGCACACAGTTTTGCAGCAATTGAAAA